GAAATTGAAGAGGGCTATATCTTCGGAACCGGTACTGAAGTTGCCGGAGTTCGACAAGCCGTTTGAGTTGCAAACGGATGCTTCTGACCGTGCTATCGGGGGTGTGTTGGTGCAAGACAAACATCCCGTTGCCTTTGAAAGTAGAAAGCTGAAAGATGCTGAGATGCGGTACAGTACTCATGAGAAGGAAATGACGGCAGTGGTGCATTGTTTGGATGCTTGGAAGCATTACTTGTTGGGTACGAAGTTTGTGGTTGTCACCGACAATGTGGCAAACACATACTTCAAGACTCAAAAGAAATTGTCGCCGAAACAAGCAAGATGGCAAGAGTTCTTGGGTGAATTCGATTTCGAGTGGGTACATCGACCGGGAAAGCATAACGACGTGGCTGATGCACTGAGTAGGAAAGTCGTTGAATCCTACGTTAGTGCTTTGACTCGTGTGGAGTCTGATTTTCTTGAAAGGGTTCGAGAGGTAGCCAAGACTGATTTGGTCTACCAAAAGATGGCTGAGCAAGTACGGGCGGGGCAGATTCGGAAATATTGGCTAGAGGATGGGCTGTTTTATTGCCGAGCAGCTCCCTTAGACGTGAACTATTGCGGGAAACACATGATCCGACGTGGGCTGGTCATCCCGGAATTGACAGAATGTTGGCCCTTCTAGCCCGATCGTACTATTGGCCAAAGATGGAGTTTGACGTTGAGGCATACGTCAAAACTTGTCTAGTTTGTCAACTAGACAAGACCGAGAAGAAGAAAGAGGCCGGTCTATTGCAGCCTCTGCCCATTCCGGAGAGGCCTTGGCAATCGGTTTCGATGGACTTTGTGTCGGAATTTCCGAAAGTGAACGGTAACGCTTCTATCTTTGTGATCGTTGACCGTTTCTCGAAGTATGGGATTTTTATTGCTGCACCAATGGCTTGTCCGGCTGAAGTAGCTGCTGAGTTATTTTTGAAGAATGTTGTGAAGTATTTTGGTATTCCCGAAGACATTATCAGCGATCGGGATACTCGGTTTACGGGCCGTTTCTGGACCGCGCTATTCAACATGCTGGGGACTGAATTGAAGTTTTCTACGGCAAATCACCCCCAAACGGATGGACAGACGGAGCGAATGAATGCCGTGTTGGAAGATTATCTTCGGCATTATGTTAGCGCGAGTCAGAAGGATTGGGTCGGTTTGCTTGATACAGCCCAATTCTGCTACAATCTTCACAAGTCCTCAGCTACGGGGATGAGCCCGTTTGAGTTGGTGTACGGGCAGCAACCAATGGTGCCGCATGAGGTGGCATTGCAGCGAACCGGAGGGAAGTGTCCTGCTGCCTATCGCTTTGCTCGTGCTAGACAAGAATTGCTAGACGAGGCAAAGGATAGCTTGATGAAAGCACAAGCGAGGATGAAGAAATATGCTGATGCTCATCGAAGAGACGTGGAATTTTAGGTTGGTGATCAAGTGTTGATGAAATTAACGCCTCAAATTTGGAAGAATATCAGTTCCAAATCAGTGCACCGTGGGTGCCAAAGTATGACGGTCCTTTTGAAGTGGTGTCAAAAGTTGGTCGAGTTGCCTATCGTTTGAAGTTGCCGGACAGATTGAAAGTGCATCCGACGTTTCATGTGAGTTTTTTGAAGAAGTTCAACCAAGATTTGCTCGATGAAAGTCGGAAGAAAACGAAGAGAGCCCCCACCAGTGGTCCGAAAGGAATTTGAGAGAGAGATTCAGCAAATTCTAGACCACAAGACCCAAGGTCAAAGCAAGAAGAATCGGCGGACTGAATTTTTAATTCATTGGAAAAATTCAGAGGTGGCCGATGCTACTTGGGAGAAGGCGGTGAACCTGTGGCAGTTTGAAGACGAGTTGGCAAGATATTGGGAAAATCTGAAGCGAGTGAACAGTTCGACGAGGCCGTCGAACACCGCTGGTGGGGGAGGTCTGTTACCCCCTTAGTCGGTGATATCGACTATAACTCGAGTGTGGCCGAGTTATAGTTGAAAGGGTGCCAAGAAGTGTTGGCACAAGGCAAGCTACACATGGGCCAAACGGTGGCCGAGAGTTGGGCAAGTATTGAGGTGCTTGGCCGAGAAATACAAGGCAAGGGTGGCAAGCATTGAGGTGTTTGGCCGAGAAAGGCATGGCAAGTGTTGGCAAGGCAAGCGGGCTGAATTGCACGCGTGCGGGCGGATTCGATCCTTGGGCGCGCGCGCGCGCTGATTGGGCAAGCCGGGCAGCTAATTAACTCGGGAAGTTAAGGAAGGCAGTTGCGGAGCGGTTGGCATCAGCAATGGCTTAGAAAACCGTCCCTTTATGTTATATTAGTGAGCCAAGTGGCTGGCCTGCGTGCCGCCATGTGTCCCTTGGCAGTTTAGTGTGTAAACTGCATTGTAACTTGTATTTATAGGCCCAGAGTGCACAAATCCGACCCATTCAGATAGAGGGACTCAGATTGCAATTGTTAGCATCTGTTGTGAGGATTCTTTGTGTGCACCAAGGGCTTTCCTTGTATTGTTCGTGAGTGAATCAATAAAGGTTGAGCGTTGCTCGTAAATTGCTTGTGTTGTTCGATTTCCGCTGCATACTTGTGATTGTTGCTGTTTATTTGATACAACGATGGTGCCTTATGTTTGTGGGAAGAATTGTTGAGTGGGCTGACTGATTTAGTGCGTAAATCAGGCCGTGCGGTGGGAAAATTTCGGTGATAAATTAACCCCTGTAACACCTGCAATAGTAGGTTGGTGGACCAAATTTGGAATTTTCGTAAGTTAGATGACCGGAAACTTATATTTGAAACATGATAGGACTAACTCTCGCATAAGGAAAACTTATTGGACCAAATAATCATTAATGTATTCTTTTTTTGAATCCCAAGTTGCACAACTTACATCCAACAAAATTACATTATATCATCATATCTTCATCTAATACATACATACATAAAACAATTTTCTTCATATAGAATGAGGTGCTTCAGATTAATTTTAGCAGCATTCCCAGAATACTCCTTGAAATGTTACGATTTTCTTCCTCGTAAAATATCATGCTTACGACTTACGAGTACTAATACTCAAGTCTTTTTGAAACTGAATTATGAGCATAAATGGAGCTAGAGATCTTTTTTTAATTAATGTTATTTATACGTCAAACATGTATTTACGAACATATAAACTTAAACGAATTACGTATGTCATGTGATGGAATAATAATAATAATAATAATAATAATAATAATAATAATAATAATAATAATAATAATAATAATAATAATAATAATAATAATAATAATAATAATAATAATAATAATAATAATAATAATAATAATAATAATAATAATAATAATAATAATAATAATAATAATAATAATAATAATAATAATAATAATAATAATAATAATAATAATAATAATAATAATAATGGTAAATTACACTTACACCCCCAAGGTATGCTAAAACAATTTTTAGGGTCCCTATGGTATTGGTAATTACAGTCACACCCCTTGAAACAATTACGGTAGCCAAGATTTCATGTCCTAGGGACCAATATGCATTATATTTGTTTTATGTGGGGCCGTTAATGCTACCATAGACCCAAATTTATAAATCTTATATAAAATATAATAAGAATTTAAGACATGCTTGAGGAACCATGCCACCATTTAACTCTATGTTGTGTCTACCATTACCTGAAACTAATAGTCTCGTAGAACCATAATGGAATAACTTATCCAATACAATTATTTCGTTAGGGTTTCTAACAACGTTTCAGCGAGGTGATTGCAATTACTAATACCATAAGGACCTTAAAGTAATTTTAGCATACCTCAGTGTGTTTGTGTAATTTACCCTAATAAATTTTTAAATAATTAAACAATGAAAAACTTGTACAAGAAAATAAGTATGTACCATGTGTTTGATAGCCATGTCCAGGGGCGAGTCCACCCTTGGGCAAGGGTGGACTCAAGCCCACTCTCATTTTTTTAATTTTCCCCCTATATTATACCCTATTTCTATTTAGCCCACTCAAATTTTATTTATTAGCCCACCCAAAATTTCATTTAATGCAAAAGAAGCCCCATATTTTATTAATTAGCCTACCCAAAATTTAAATTAATACAAAAAAAACTCTAAAATTTGTTTTTTTTTTCTTTTTTTTTTTTTTCGTTTCTCCTTTTCCTATTTTCAAAAAAATCCTAAAAAAGTCTCGGGGGCGCTGCCCCCGAACCCCCGAAAATTGAAGCCCCCCCTTACTGAATTCCTGGACTCGCCACTGGCCATGTCCAATGAAGTTTTCGACATCAATCTTCCAAAACCAGAGCTCTCATTCTGTCTTTCTTCACCACTCGAGTTAATTCTCGAATTCATAAACCTATCCACCATTCTACTCCCCAATACTTGTCCTCCTCCTCCTCGATTTCCTACTTGTTGTTGACTTTTATTATCCGAGTCAACTACTTTTCTACCTCTTGTCACACTAGGTGAGCACGATTGTCTTCTCATGTTCGAATTCGTGTCATGTTTTTGCGGGCCCGCCGGAAGATAATTCTGATTCGTTGATCTTCCACGAGTTGTTGATGCTGGCATATGATTGGTCGTTATTCTTAGATTATTAGGCGGTGTATTGTCTAATAATCCTCGGTTTTTGAGGTTGTTGATGCTTGAATTTGGTTCGATAGTTGTGTTTTTTGAAAGGTTTGATGATGTTGGGAAATTGGGGTGGATTTTTTCGTTCGGGGTTGACTTAATTGAAGTTGACTTTCTTTGATTTATTATTGGTGGGATTTTCATGTTCTTGTTTTCCATGGACGGAGATATACTTGGCCTAGCGTTCGGTGTCTTGTGCCGTTGCGGAAGTTTTGGCTTCGGTTTTGGAGATATTGGTATGCTACTTGTTTTTGTGCCTTGTGAATTTCCTGCAAACTGCACAGTACATATAATTTGTTTAGAATGTTGGTATTTTTGTTTATTTTTATTTTTACCGAATGGCGATTGAATCTACGTTGAGTAGATGTTACACCTGGTGAAGTATAACATATCACCGAATTTATTGCATTTAATACTCCTGTATTTTTATCGAAATTTTCAAAGATTTTTCGTGATATTAATATTAATAAAAAAAAACTTATGACGCCGTTTTTAACATGCAACAACCTATATTTATATAGGGTGTTTGCCAATATTTATAGCACAATGATTACCATGAAATAAACTTGATCAAAAGTCGAAAAAAATAATTTTCTTATTGAAAAAGTGTTTATGATTATACATAATAATTTGAAAACATACCCTTGAAAGAGACAGGAGGATTGGTATTTCCCTCTGAATGACTAATTCTTGCCCATTTGTTTCCATCTCTAGTGATGGAAATAGAGGCGTTGCCGGCGGTGTTTTAGCCTTCGAAAATGTGAAAAATGAAAATAAATATTTAACCAAACATTAATTCAAATATTGTTTAATTAAACAATGGACTTATGCAATTAGCTATCGGATCATCCGATAAATTTCAACGTGTATGGCATAAATTTACCAATTATAGTCATTTTCTCCGCTATCAAATCCTGCACCTTTTCTTCCTCCCGATTCCATTCTATAGAGCCCATAGTTCCCTACACTTCACGGCTCTTAATTGTAAAAAGAAATTAAAAAAAGTTCCTAATTAACGCACACATACTTGTGGGTGCGTGTGCGTGCATTCGACAAGTGAACTAACAAATAGGACTCACCATTAGCCTCAAATTCTTCAGAAACAGGCTGAAGAAGGCTAGCAACTTGTTCTTTCTCGCGCTTTTGAATATTCCGGAAGAATGATAGCTCTTCGTATTTGTCCTTAATGCAATTTGAGATCATTCCACGAGCTCGAAAACCTTCACTTACGTCTCTTTTGTGCATCTCGTGTTGTACTTGTTTCTCACATTAATTTTTTTTTTTTTTTTAATTCTTAATTTCTTATGATGTGTCGGACAATCATATGTTTCTTGATTGTCCTTGTAGGAAATTAAGGATGCTATAATAAATTCATGATCTTACATAGGGGGATAGTGACATAATAGTATGTTAACAAATAATATCAAATAAACCGGCTGAGTCAATTTTTGTATAAACAAATGAAGGGAATATTTTGTTAAAAGGAAATTGAGATTCTTGTAAGAGTACATTTGGCAACTTTTGTGGGAATTGCAGGCAGGATCCACACTTGAAGAATATGTCAAAAACAATCTCAACCGCTGCAACACAATTGTTCATAAATTGATCAAATTCATGTATAAATTAAAATCAAGGTTAGAAGAAATAAATATTTCATCCAATTTGCATAAATCTATTTTTGAACGGATCTAAGACCGATTAATTAGACACAAACACTGCACAATTGCTCGATTCTTAGCTTAAATAGTCTTAGAATTAATAGGAGTTTTACCCCTACCAGATAGCTTTCCAAAACCTTTAGAATCAGATCATTTGAAGTTTATATGAGTGAATTAGGACCAATATTGTGAACACTGTCAAAATCGTCCTTTTAATTTATCCTCCAAAATGTTTAATTTGCCTCCGAAACTTGTATTTTTCACCCATTATTCGTTCTTTTTATACGTGTTTACCTATAAAAACACTAAAAACACCAAAAACACATAAAAAGAATTAAAATGACTAAGAAACGAGCAATAATCCATGTCAGGAAGTAATGAAAAAGAGTCAAAATCATGCATGCACTCATCAAACAACTTTACATAATAACGCAAACCGAGCCGATCTGTATTTTCATGATGAATTAACATGATCTACAAGCTTTGAGTTAAACGCCACGGATTTGCACAACGGACAGAAGTTCTTCACGCGCAGCCACCGTCGGATGCAATCGGAATGATATTCATGTTTTGCACTCGAGAATTCCAATATTATTAATAATCCCATGATTATTATTTTCTTGGCACAAATCATCGAAACAAACCACACAAACTTCAATATGAGGACAAAAATTAATCTTTATTTTCAGACACTTTTTGATCTGATCTTCGGACAAACCATCGCTAATATTATTGAGGGCCGTCTGATCTAGTTGAACTCTTCTTGCATGTTGATTCAGCATTTTGTACGCTAAAATAGAGTCCATGTAATATTGTAGTAGGAGCTTGAACCTCCTATATGTCTATACATATTTTTAGGGTTAAATAATGTAATACTTTGATATTGAATTTTATTTCCAATAATATAATTTTAGTTAATTTTTAATTTTATTATTTTATATGATCCAATAATGATTAGATTGTTATGTTATTTACTCTAGTAAAGAAAGATAATTTTTTAAAGACTTTGAAATATAATGATTATTATATTTAAAAAAAAAGTATTATATGGTTTGAAATATAAGATGCAAAATTATTGATGTTTGAGGGGGCAAGTGTAGCAATCTATATAATATATAAAAGTTGAATTCCACACCTAATTGATTGACATTTGTCAATTTCAATTGGTGACATACTGACATGTATTCAATTTTATGGCATGTGGTAAATTGATTGGTGAAAATAAATCATCAAAAAACATGTCACCATTTTCCAAAATTAAAAAGATATTTAATTATTTTATTATATATTTATATCATACCATTTATAAAATGCTCTAAATATATCAACTTTCTTGGAAGCTCTAAATAGTTTTATTTTTTAATTTAAATGTAATAGTAATTAATTTAATTTTAATTTATTTAAATTATTTGATATTATACATTTTACATGAACATGACTAGAGAATATGTTTATCTTTTTTACTAATTCATAAACTTGGATTTATATAAAAAAAATTATTGCAGAATAAATTATTTGATATTATACATTTTACATGAACATGACTAGAGAATATGTTTATCTTTTTTACTAATTTAATATCATATTCGTAATTACCAAAATTTCCCTGATGTGTGTTTTCGTCTTACATCGACCCCCTTACGGTATGATTCTTCACGGAATTTTTTTTATTAATTAAAAAAATGTAAAAAAAAGTCAATTAACAATTAAATTACTGTCTCCGATAGTTAAATAACTGCGGAGACAGTAATTTAGCAGCAAAGACAGTAATATTAATTAAAATATTTATGAAGAGAAAAAAAAGTCAATTAACAGTTAAATTATTGTCTCTGACAGTTAAATAACTGCCGGAGACAATAATTTAGCCGCCAAGACAGTAATATTAATTAAAATATTTTTTTTAAGAAAAAACAAAATTATAAATAAATAAAAAGTCAACGCCGGAGACCCGGCGGTTAACGGTAGTTCCGACCGGAAAAAAATTTCAGGGAAAAAAAAGTTTTTCAAAAAAAAAAAAAGTCAACGCCGGAGACCGGCGGTCTCCGGTGGTGGCGTGTCAAAATTGAAATTAGGGTTAAAATTGGTTAATTGATGAAATTGGGCTAAATTGTACTTTTAATATTCTACTTTTAATATTTACACGTTTCCTCTAAACTCCCGATTCCCATTTTTGGGACATGTCGTTTCCCCGTATTCATTTTCCTATTTTCACGTATCGTCGTTTCTGTATCCATGCTACATAGATGACGGCTTCTCCAAAATCTCCTTAGAGATGAAATTGGGCGATTCCAATTGGGACTTCATTCTTAGAAAAAATGTTTTTGTTAATTACTCATGCCCAAGAAATATTGGCAAAGAACTTGGTTATCGTGATTTAAGAGTTAGGTATAGGACCAAAATTTTACATACCATCGGAGATAAAGAGAAGAACAAATATACCTAGACTCTGATTGGATCGTGAATTTTAAAATACTAGAAAGGTGGACGTGCGTTGCAGGTCATGGTTGATTTTATTTATGAGATTTCTTTTTAATTTTATACTATTTTGACATATTTTCGATTGAAGTAACTAAATAGATATCTAAGTTATTTGAGAAATAGTAATATTATATTTCAATAGAATCTAACATTATCTAGTAGTGAAATATGTTTAGATTCATATATTGTATTTATTGTTCGTTCATGATTCCATTAATTTTTTTTTTTATCTTGTAATTTAAGTTCTATATTTTTTTTTTAAATCTTGATGAACTCTTGATCATCGTTAAAAGATGGTGTTATTTACTTTTTATGTTATTATACGTTTTTTTTTTCTTGCAACCCTTTTATTTTACTCGATCATATTTTCTTTGGTAAATTACAACTACCCCTTGAGATATGGTCAGTTTACGAAAAAAAACTCCTCTTGTTTGGATAATTACATCTACCATCCTCAACTATGATTTTTTCTTACACCTCCACCCTTATGATGTCAAATTCAACATAATCATCTAGATTTCGTGGAATGTGCTCTAGTTTGTACTCGTTTTGTGTAAAAATACAGTTTATGATGCACCACAATTCGATATATACAAGCCAAAAAACACATATTATGATCATCTTGCTTCAAAATGTGGACTTCGAATGAGATAAAACGGTTACAAAAGTGATAATATCCCATATAATCTTGAAACTGCAAGATGGACGTGTAAGAAGTTTTATAATTAAGGGGTGATTGTAATTACCCAAATAAGAGGGGGTTTTCGTAATTTGACCACACCTCGGGTTTGTTGTAATTTACCCTATTTTGTTTGATAGATTATTAATATCTACTTTTTTTCTTGCTTTATCTCAGGCTCTGTAATATTTTTGCATGGTCTACCATTATAGTTGTCTATCATCCTTGTTTTATTGCCTTTAAGCTAAGGGACGCAGCTTGCTTTCATACGATTATATGTATCATCGAACTATAAGAAAAAAATGTGAAGCCCGGTAAGCGTGTGCCGTCATCTAGGATTCAACCGAAACTCAATGACAAATGCCCGAAAATATTTCGGAGCTATGATTCTGTAAATATTTAAAGTTTCGGGGATATTTCTAAAAATATTTAAACGCGTGTCCACCCAATAAAATTTACAATATATCTCAAGTAAGTACTTACAATTGCGTGCCTTTGAATTGTTTTTAAAAAAAATATCTTTTTTTTTTGTAGTATTTTTTTTTATAGATGTTAATCATATACTGAAACATATTTATCTATCCAATATATAACTTGAAAATTATATATAATTTGTGGATACAATTTATGATAAACATATATGTTAATAATATATTATTTCTTAGAATTTATAAATATACCCGTATGTTTTTTAATATTTACACGTTCCCCATGTTTCTATATTCGATTTTTCGAGATACGGGTTTCCCCGTGTCCGTTTCCCTCATAGTGCGTTCTCCTGTCCCTGTTACATAGGCCATCATCACCCAAATATCATTTTTATCAAAAAATTCTAATGCAAAATGCAAACTTGAATGTTTGCAAAATTTTAAAATAAGTTGCAGTTGGTTAAAATATTAATTGGACAACGCTCTCAATCCAGATAAGACCATACTATCTCCATCTAAATCCTTTGCTTCTGCAAAACCCCAGTTGAGGTATAGAGAAATTAGATTTGGAACCTACAAAAGTAGGATCTACTTCAACACTGCAGATCGTGATAATGCTGATCTTTTTATTAAGATCACGTTTAGGAATATAAATTTCTACCAATTGTGTGAAAAAAACAGGCTTAGCAGCTTCCCTAGGAGTTTGCTATACAAAATAAGGGCATGGCCAACAATATTGACTTGCAATTGTAGCCCATATTTTTTAATATTTCTGATTGTTCCCGATATTCCTAACTCCAAATTTGAATCGTTTCAATCAGTAAAAAGGTAAACCTAGACAAAAAAGGAAAATGTAATTGTGGTCTTCAATTAGTTAATTGTTTCTTAATTTTATTTTGTTTTGGACAGCATAAATAATCAACAAATATTTCCCTTATATTTTGTTCGCCCTGGCTGAAAATGCAAAAGAAAAACAATATTTTAGTTCCATAATTAGATACC